CTCCCGGGACCACGCGGCCTGTCGCGCCGCCCCGGGGCAGTCCGGGGTGGCCCTGAGCTCCGCGGAGGGGAGCGGACCGGCGCCGCGATCGGCGACACCGCCCCGCCCCGCCGCCGGGGCTGGGACCGTCACTCACGACGTGCTTTCCGCATCCGGCGCGGCGGCCCTTCTAGCCAGGTGGGCGCTGAGGCGGCTCTATGGTGAGACGCTGGGGCCTGGGGCGGCCGGTGCCGTGCCGCCCCGCTCGGTGAGGGCAGCTGGGCCCCCGCCGCCTTCCGCCGCGGTCCCGGACTCCGCCCCGGGCGGCCTCCTGCCCTGCGAGAGGGGCGTCGCGGGGAGCGGCAGCGATGAGCGTCGTGGAGCGGCCCGAGGAGAGGGAGACGGCGGCGGCCGCGGCCAGCCCCGAGCGCTGGCTGGGTACGTGAGGGGCGGCCGGGCTGGGCGGAAGGCGGGTGCAGCGAGGTCCGAGGAGGGGGCTGGGGCCGGGGCCGCCCCCGGCCCCGGTCAGAGCTGAGCGCCCGCGGGGAGCGGGGCACGCCGCCGTGGGACCGGGCTTTGGCTCCGGCGCCCGTCCCCGGGGAGGGCGGTCAAAGGTCTTACGGCTGGGTTCGCTCGGAAACGAAATGCGAGCCGCTGTCGTCGTTTTCTCCCACGCGGTGTGGCTTGTAGATTAAAGTCGTCTGTCTTCCGAGAGCTCTGCACGCAATAAATAATCACAGCTTGCCCGTATGAAATTTACAGTAGCTGTTAACTAACTCTTGCAAACTTTCAGAGTTCGGCGTGTGCTGTTTTAATGAGTTCTTCATATGTTTTGGGTAACAGGCTAAGACCTTTATTTGGTGGGCCTAGTTTTTTTCTCGAACTTTGAAACCAAAGGGTGGGAGTGTGTTAATGTTCAGGTATTCTTGATGCATAGCCAGAACAACTGATATTGCCCCTTTTTTTTCCTCAATAGACTGGAGTACGTGGAATTTTCTTTTTTTTATAAGGTGTCTTTAGACTACTCTAGTTCCCGCTCTCTGTTGTGCTTGTGTTCAGATAAAACTGTTCCACCAGGAAGCTCATGATACAGGACTGGGAATAAGGGAGGGATAAAGAGGGGAAAGAAAAAGGAAGCGCTGTTTAGTTAATAAAGTGCAAAGAATTATAATTTCATTGTTGAAATGCTTTTAGTTTTTACACAGGAAAGTATAGTTGCCCTAGGTGAAACCTGAAGTGCGTGCTGACCTGTCACATCCAACCTTGCTATTCTTTGGTGTAGGTCTTAGTGATGCATCTCCAGATGAAGGAGTAGTAGAAGATCTGCCTTTAATAGATGAGAAGGCTGTGGAGCAGCTAACTGAAGGATTGATTTCTCATTATCTGCCTGATCTTCAGCGATCAAAATCAGCACTACAGGAACTTACGTAAGTAAATTTTTAACCCCAACTTCTTATGTGTGCATGCTTTGCCACTTCTTTCAGGATAATGTTCTAGTTACCCTTAACTGGAATATAGTTTATTGTAGCATTTCTGTGTTCTGACTATAGCACCCTGAATAGCTAAGTGATTTGCAGGAGTACTTGGGGGTGTATAAGCTGTGATATAGCCTATCGGAACTTTGACTGAAGAATGTATAACACTAGAACGCTAAAATCCCCTAAGCCAGGTATAGCAGAAGACATGTAGATTTCTTAAATGCTTGTTCACTTCTGTAGTGGAAAGTCTGCTGAAAGCTGGATTTATTTTGCTTGCAGAGATGCAGTTCATATTCAGGGCAGCTTGTAGTTTGTTGTCCAGTCTCTAAATTGTGTTGTGAAAGATAACACTCAAAATATAATTAAGGAGGTAAACAGATAAGAATTCTTTGTACATTGGCATCTCACTGATAACTGAGAATAGTTTATTTCAAATGCAGGCTGGATCTGCCATGGATGCAGAGATACTGGAAAGGGCTTTACACAGATCCGTCTCAGGTTTTGCAGGGTACATTGGTTTGGGTTTCATGATGCATGATACGGTCACGCTGCTGCCAAGGACAGCCTGTGTCTGGAAAGGCTTTAGCTGATTTGTGTGGGATGGAGGATCCTTAATAAGCACCGAGGATCCATGCAAGTTCTATACAGAAATAACTTAGTCCTGCAGTGTGACGTAGAGGCACCTGAGTGGAAAGTCAAGAGTTAATTGTTTTCCCCTTCATTCAACCTGAGGTGTTTACTCACTGCAGCCTGCAGAATGCCTGTTCAGGGTTTTTGGATAGTCATCCTGAATATCCATGCTGTATGATGCATGCTGAATTTGTCTGTACTCAGCTGGGATTTTTCTAAAACAATTTACTCGTGTCTTTATTGAAATCACCTAGCAATGCATAAGAGGAATCTGATATTGGGAAGCATGTATGTATATTGTTACAATCAAAAGTAGTATTTATATAAAGGGCTGGTTGAAAAGCATATGTGCTGCATTACTTTGGTTTTATGCATCTTTTTTTGTTTCAGACAGAACCAAGTGGTATTACTAGAAACATTAGAACAAGAAATTTCAAAATTCAAAGAGTGTAACTCCATTCTTGATATCAATGCTTTGGTAAGTACTAATAATGCCTTCTTAAATCTCTATTAGTGTAGAGTTTTTTCCTTGTTCTCAATGACCTACAGAAAGAGAACCAACCAGTTCAGATATTTGGGACAAATTGTTGCTGGAGAGGGTGCGGAACCAGCATATTTCCCTTAAATAGGAAGGGCACTGGGAAAAAACAGCAGGCTCAGTGGTAGTAAGCCTAGTTGTTCAAAACCAGTAGCCAAAGCAAATGTATGCCATTTTTCGGCAGGACTGAGGCTCCAACATGAGCTGTGTGCACCTTCTCCAGGCTAGCAGGAAGGGTGCGTCAAACACTGATATATGGTGCATAAAATGGTAATATTTTTATTCTGTTTAATAAATCATAATTCAGTAGATTACTGGGTGTATCTGTTGAGATATGGTAGTGTTCTGTATTAATACATGTAATATGTTGAACATGTTTAATCCATTATCAAATTGTTCCGGTAATCACTGTTTTTGATGGCTGTTTTGTTGTGTAGCTGTAGAAAACAACTGTTCAAACTTGACAGTCGCTGCTTTAACAGTTATGTTTTTTAAGTTTTCAGAAGCTAAACACTATCACAACAAGTTAGTGAATATTAGAAATGAAATGATGATGCTCCATGAGAAGACATCAAAGTTAAAAGTGAGTGGGATAAGTATTTTTACTTTCCAACATAGATATTTAATTATGTATTATTGACTTCCAACTTTTATTTTGGATGCATGCTGGAAGTTCTGATTAAAATAGAATCTTCAGTCCTTATCTTAAATGGATGTTTTCAGTAGCACCAAGCCATGTATGTTTTCAAACTTCCACTTCTATCTGTGCTCAAGCAACTTATGCATCTGAACTACTAGCAAATCTCAGTGTCATCATCATGTTTAGGTGCTATAAGAATCATGCTTTCTTCTGTCGCTTAATCCACTCCATTCCAACTAGTTCTCTCTGTTGTTTCAGTTTCTGTGCCTTTTTAATGAAAACTAGATTGTCATAAATGTAAGCATTTCTTCTATTTAATGTAACATGAACAGTGGCATACGTTTACTGACTTCATGCTATATAGGCAGTCTCTGGTTGCATTCTGGCAAGACCAGTCCTTCAGTATGTTCAACAAAAGGATTTTCTCTTGGAGGCAATAAATTGCATAGTATGCACCTTGTCTGGTACACACGAAGGATGACTTTTAGTGAGACTGAAGGGAATCCAGTTTGTATTTTCCCTGTGTAGATCACAGACTTGCCATTTCTGAATGGTAAGATGCAAGTGGGAGGGAAGAAGAAAAAATGAACAGTTTATGCAGCATTCAGTCATGAGCAGGGTGAATTGGAGAAGATAAGAGAATGGGAGGGATTTTGTTGGTAGCTCCAACTTAAAAACAGCTATAAAACTTCCTTATTTTCTTGTCTTTTCTCTTTAGAAAAGAGCACTTAAGCTGCAACAAAAGAGGCAGAAGGAAGAACTAGAAAGAGAACAGCAACGTGAGAAGGAACTTGAAAGAGAGAAGCAGTTAACAGCAAAACCTGCTAGGAGGACGTGAAAGCAGAGCATGCAACAACTTGTCCGAATTAATCATTCCTGCATTCTCTGGGATTAAGGCAGACTTTGCTTAAACTAGGCTATAGCTTTTACTAGCAACAGTCTACTCTCTGATACTGTAAATTCCAAAATGGTAATAATAGCGTTGGTAACATTCAAATTTTTTCATTTCAGCCATTCAAGTTGCCTTCTTTTGTAATGCTATGCAGTTTGATATTATTATAATGTAAGTTAATTTTTATATATATGTATATAGGAGAACTTAGGCATCACAGTTTTAAATACCTATCCATTTTTTTCATCTGTTCTTCTGGTGTTTAGAATTCTGAGAGATATTTGGTGACTGGCATACATGTTTTTCAGACAAAATACAGAATACTAGTTAGAAGTTCAGTTCTCATCACTGGACTTCAGTGGCCACCTATTTCACCGAAACTGCTTTGATTCAGGCAGTTGGGATCTTTTTTTGATGGCCTGGTTCATAAATACTGACTTTTTGTGCAGCCTTAGTTTGGTCCATCTCTAATGAACTGAAGAAACTTCCAGTGTATTTGCCTGAAAGCTCACTTTATTGCAGCAGTCTTATTTTTTTGTCATCAAGTAACTTTAACAACAGTTTTAATGTAACTTTCGAATAAGTTCCCAGCTGAATTGGAAGAAGAACACTAAAGATTCTCAAAATTGATGTGTGCACAGTGCAAAGACTAATGAATTTGTGCTTCCCCAAATATTTGAGTCAAATGAGGGAACTGTTGCTCCTGTAATGGTTCAGCAGGAAGACTGTGTGGTCAAAGCAGATTTCTTTGGAATTAGAAGCTGTAGTTTCTTCATTTTGTGTGACAAAATAAAACACAACCAAAACTAAACAATTTCCCCTTCATGTGAAATTCAGTTACCTGTAGGAAAAACTACTACATTTTTTTCCTTAACAAATGATTTATTTGCACTTTGGGTTTATGTAAGAGAATTTTTGTTGTGCTGTCCTCACCCAAATTGATGATTATTAGTGTATACTGATGATAAATGTGGAATGGAGGTTGATATCCATTTCTCTGAATGTAAATGCTTTCTTGCAGCACTTGGTGTGAACTCCCATTCAAATGAATGTACATGTTGTCTAGACTGGTAAAAGAGCTTTAACAAACTAGTTATTTTATATCTATGTTATTTTTTAAGTAGTAATGTAAGTGGTGTGTTTTGAAGTAAGATGAAGGGTAAGCAATGTAAAGTTTTCCATAAAATATGTATGGTAAGGTATCAGAGGGGCACAATCAATTTTACTTTTTCTTCCATTTTAGATGACTTACACAGTGTGCACCTGCCTGGACTCTTCTGTATTGTAATTTTCTGAACTACTTTCCTGTTCTTAACATTTGTCATCTTTTTCTGTGAAAGATGTACTCTAACGAGTAATCATCCAACATGCAAGGTAAACTGGGATAATGTTTTGGGGCAAGGAGAACAAACTACTTGAAGTAGTCTGAAAAGACACTGAAATGCTGTTACTGAAGCAGTAATAGATAAAAACTTTCCACAGGTATTTTTCCTTTAAGTTGACTTGTGCCTGTTAATTGCCGGTGGATTGTTGACCTGTGCTGTGGTTTGTATGTATTTCTAAGAGAAATGTAAAGAATTTCCACAGTCCATTTTTGGAGCAGAATGTACATAACTAGATTTTGTTTAAATATTTTATTTTGTAATGTAATCTCAAAATTAGATTCTGGGAATTTAAACAATTCTTATTAAAGTATAGCATGAAACTAGATGCCTCAGTATCCAAATCAGGATTAAATTCCTGTGGTATTTCTTGATTTGTGTTCCCTCATCTAGAATCCAGTGTAGAGTTTCAAGTTGTGGTCTCTTTCTGTGAAGAACTGTGGGGTTTTTTTTTTGTTTTGCTTCAAAAATCATGGCTACTTTTACTGAAAATACAGAATTCTATGCTTAGAAATTGATGCTTTTGCAATTGCATATTTCAGTGTTTCTTTGGAATAATTTCTGATCAAATGAATAAAAGCTTGCAGTGCTTGCCTGAGGAATCACATAGACGTATGTAAAATGTAATTATAGCTTTTCCCATAAAATTGTAGTAAAATCTTGGTTTTGTATGAATAAGGAACCAATTATACTAAATGACCTTTCTGTAATAAAGGGGAAAAAATGAATTAACATATATAGGGGGAAGTTTGGTCAGTTTATGCAACTTTTTTTTTAATTAATAAGTTCTTAACTTATTTCAGTCACAACTACAATTCATTATCTCCATAGGATGTTGTTCTTCCAAATACTCCTCTTGCATCTTAATGCATAAAAAGTAAATGCTGCATTGGATTAATTTAATGATACTGGCATCTAAAATTGTATGCTTGCATTAATATGCACAGCTAGAGTAATTCTATTACTGTATATGTTTAGTCTTGCTTGATTTTATAAAGAATTCCTGATCAAGTAGATAAATGTGGTAGCGTTAGACATTTTCTTCCTGACTTTTTATTCCATCCACATGGAGGTGCAGCTAGCTGCATGTTTTTTAGAAATAGATAAAATGACAACTTTAAAACAGTGGGTTTTTTTACTGTTTCATACCCAGTGTACTCACTTGTTTTTAAACTATCAAGTTATAGCAGCAGAAGTAAGATGCTTAACTGTGCAATAACTCTTTGAATTTTTATTTTGTAAGATTCTACAAATTTAGGAATTACCATTGCTAACTGGGGAATCTTGGTTTCCCATGCTTTTATCTTTGCTGTTGTTAACCTGGATGCTTAATTTGGGTTCCCCCACCTATAGCCATACAGCTTTATGTGAGCTGATTTTTAATCCAGTGAAATCTGGCTTTTTCACTAATAGTGGTAGTTTTGCCATGCTCATAAGACAAATATCTGTTTCCTTTTGCAAAATGGCTACAGAATTATTTTATCTTGTTTTATTCTGTGTGCTGTAACCTAAGTGATAATAGCATAAATAATAATGTAAAGGTTGTTTCTATAGCTGTTCTGTTGAGATTCTAGCAGCTGAGAGAGTTCTCTGGCTGGTTTATTCCAAATTATGCTTCAGTAGACACTTCTGCTACCTACTGCTTGCTTTGCAACACTGCTGGCTGTTCTTTATTTTAATTCTGAGCTTGGCGCTTTAATGCTTTACCTTGTAGGGGTCAATTTTTTTTAAGTCTCATTAAATCTGATTGGTTATTTGATCTTTGTTGGATTAGTTGTATGAATATAACTAAATTACTGCTAAAACCTTTGCAGGACTTGGAGTTAGTGATGTAAATCTCTAAGAATACAGACTGTAGCAGCATAAATATTAATACGGCTATTCATGCTAGGCAAAACAGTATGCACTAAGTTTCTTAGTAAGGAAGCATGTGAAGGTAGCAAAGATGATTTGATTTATTTATTTATTCATTTATTTATTTTTAAATCAAAGTGTAAGCTTAAGTTGAAGTAAACAGTTGGTTTTGGCACAAATATTGTTTCTTTCCAGTAATTTGAAGTACACTTGTACTTACTTTACTTTTCTCAGTCCTTGGCAAAGTGATTTGTAGAAAAACGGGCACCAAAACTGGACAGTCACATCCCCACCATCACCAATTTATGTCTTCAAACCATCCCTTTGTGATACCAGCGCAGCCAAGAACTCTTATGGTGTGATGAGTTTAGTTTTCTCAAATATTCTCTATGTAGGTGATCAAACTAAAACTGATGGAAAGAACAGCTCTGTTACTGGTACCTGACAGTGTCACAACAGTGCTGGTGTGGAGAATTTTAACTGTTTTCCTCCAGGCAGTAACTGTTGGCAACTGCAGATCTGGGAGGTTATGATTAACTCAAGTCCATAATCATGAAGTCTTGCATAGCTTTAAAGCACAGATGTTGGCCATACCTGGTAACTCAATATTTCCTTCTTGGTTTTGCTCCTGTCTATCTGTCGGTGATGTCAAGCCATGGGGTTTAAGAAAGGAAATGGAACACCCTGCATGGCCACTGGAAAAGTTGCAACAAATTTATTAAGCTTTGACAAACTTGCAGCTTAATGAAGCACATAATTTAAAGCTTGATGAAGAATAATTTCAAAATTTGTACCCATGCAAAGGCAGTAGTCTCTAAAGCAGTAATTCACAGAAGTAATTAATTTTGCACTGTCATTCACACCGAGATGTAAGACAAAAGATAAGGCCGATCTATTTTGTTTCATGTGTTGCAGTGAAAATACATCCTAGCGCTACCGTGAAAGCAGGATCATCTCTACATGTACTGGTCAGGAAAGCACTGTATCTGTAAATTAGCAATAAAGTTTATTGCCTTGATAAGCAAGACTTTTCTTCTGTCACTTGGAACTCATGTAAAGAGTAATATCCTCCCATGTAAATACAGCCTGCCAGAGTAATAATAGAACAATTAATATGAACTCTTTGCCACCCCACTACCTGAAACCAATGTTTCACCCCTTCAGCACTCAACTGAAGTTGCTAGTTTTCCAGTCTTTAAAATTGTGTAGAATTTTGGTAAATTATGCATGAGAATGTATTTCTTACTCTGTTTTGCTTCTACTTTTTTTTGCTTTTACTACTGCTTATTTTTTGTTAGCCTTACAGATGCTATGATTTAGAGGTATGCCAGGAGAAGAATATCTCCAAGAAAAAATATCAAAGATGATGTGAGGAAATAACTGCTTTTCTTCTACATTACCCAGTGTTACTAGAATTCATTTGAGATTGTGCTCACTGTCAGGTAGGCACTTTCCGTGGAAGAATAATCCCCATCCTGGAGAACTCGCAGTCTAAGCGTAGACAGACATGGAGATGTTGTCCTGTGGAGGGGTCAGTATAATTAACAGGCCAGGAGGTGCATGCTCTGGGCTTCCCAGGAAAGCCCAGTTGCCTGGTGAGCAGGGAGTGTTACCCATAGCTTCCACACAGCCACCCTGGGGTCCTGGTGGCTCTGAGAAGGCGTGCAACCAGGCAGCATGTGCCCAGCCCTCACAGAGCAGCTTCCACCCTCTTGTCCTGCCTGGACTTTGCTGTTGCAAGAGGGTTAGGTAGCACTCTCTGCAGCTGCAGGAGGGCTCTGTGCTACAGGCGAGTAATTTCTTCATGTTTGGTTTATGTGTTCTGTTTCGAAGTTAAGGTATTCATTTAAGTAAGTTCTTTATTAAAATTGCAGACTATCTCTGTAAGAAGTCTGTGGGGAAATATGCACGAGAGCATAAAGAAAGTATTTTAATATTTGAAGACAATCCTAAATATATATGTTAAAAAAAAAAAAAAAAAAGATTAAGCTGTCTCTTAGAACAAAAAATGTGGAAAAAAGGCTGTACTTTGACTATACCAGGGCAGCTGGGAACAGGAAGTCAGGAAGCTCTTAGAAATTAGAAAAATGAGCAGTCTGGGTGTTTTAAAACATGTGACTGTAAACTATGAGTTTTTTTCTCTTGCAAGAAGTCACTCTTATTAACAAAGATGTCTAATCTCTGTGTTGTATTTTTAAAGACACTGATTGTGTCTTCTCCCAGTACATTTTCTGTCCATTAAAATCTGTGAAAATGTAGGTGTTCAGCAGCTCTGAAAATTGAGCCTTTGCCTCTACATGGGAATGCACTGTTATCAGAGGTCATTTATTTATTATTAATTATTGATCTAGTAAGTGTTTGGGGTTTTTTAATTCAAATTTAATTATTTTGCTATTTTTCTGTCTATAGAAAAGGACCACTGGATTAAGGTTTAGGGTTGTTGCTTATAGGTAACCTGATAAAGTTCAGATATCGAAGTATTGGTGGTCATTAGGTTACAGGTACTGTAGTTGTTGTGTTTTTGGTTTAGGTCAGCCTGAAGTGAGTGACCTATGCTAAGTGGATCTAGGTGGGACTTCTAGGCTGGTGCCAGCTAAATATGCAGCTGAGTTTAGATCAGGGGTTGGCAGGGGTCCAGATTTAGGATTGGAGTCAAAGTTTGTTTCAAAACTTACAGAAGCACATGTATTAGGGTTTTGTTTTCAGATGCATTCAGAAGTGAGAAAAGAGAAGGCATTTGACAAAAATTGGGAGGGAGGGTTTATGTGACAGTGCTTTTGTGTAGAATGTTGTGCAGATCTTCTGTGGAGCGACTATTAGATGTGCCAAGTCTTATGCAAGCAACAGGAAAAAATAGTTTGTTTCAGAGGCCTTTTGACTTTGGGCTTCCTTTCTTTTATGTTTACACATTTTAGCCTGGTGTAGCTGGTTCTACATAGCTGTGGAAAGCATTTACAGAAACCTCATATGCCTGTATGGGACTACTAAATACTGAGAAGTTCCTCTGAAAGGGTAACTTGTATCCTGTCAAAATTAATGATATCTTTTGGCTAAACCTGCTTCTTTGTGTATTTTTTGTGAGAACAGTCACTGACAGTGTGGGTTTTTACAAGCAGGCAAAATGAGTTGTTCTAATTCAGGTGTTAGGTACTGTGGCCTCATCTCCAGCAACCTCTGTACCTGGCAGGGAGCGTCTGTCAGAACAGAGGTAAATTGTCAGGCTTGACTTTACAATTATTGGCCTTCAGCTGTAAGCTGAGAAAAGCAACTGAAGGTTCTTTTCTATAAACAGAAGCTGAAAGTAACACAAAGCATAGGGCAAGTGGCACAGCAAGCTAAGAGTATTAGCCAGCTTGCCACTGGCTGGCCATGAGGAGTGGTAATCCACTTGAGCTGAACGAATGACAGCTGTGGAGCTGGGACAGAGAAACTGTTCTTGTTCGGAAGCGCAGGACATGATTGCAGTGTGCGTGCCTGGATGCGCCAGGGGACTGACACAGGTACTACTTTTTAGATGGGCACCCTGCAGAATGTCTTGTTCCCTTCTGCTTCTCAGTTGCATGCAGACAATGGAAGAGCCTTGTGGTATCTTCCCATTTAACTCCTGAACGCCTTTCCCCCCTTCTTTATAGCTTTCCATAGTTGGCTGTGTATCAGCTGAGTAGTTTTGCCTGTGCAGAAGCTTTGTGCCAAGAGAGGAAGGTTGAGCCTGAGAAGGAAATGGCCTGACACATGGTTTGGAGCTGTTGGTTGCTTGATGCATGTGAGTTGGCACAAGTAATTTTGTCTGTGTATGTTACTCTTGGTGCTGATCTTCGCATGACTTTTTTTGGCTTGACAAACATGGCTTAGTGGATTAACAGCTGTTATTACTTCACGCTGTCACCATGCCGTAAATCAAAAGGCCCTATAAAGTTTTCGGGGAAAAACATTTTAAAGCTTGGCTCAGCAGTGGGTTGCAGTTAGCTGGATAGAAACAAGAGATGGCAGCCCTGCTCTCTGCTTGTACTTCAGCTGGAAGGATCCTCTTTCTCCATGCATACAGGTGAGTTGCACCCTGATTTCAGCTTAGGACTCTAATAGTTTGACTTACCTTTCTTTCTTAATATTTTATGTATTTTTTTTTAACGTGGTGGGATTCCAGGCTCAGGTCTGATTTTTGAGAGAGCAAGCTGCAAGAGCAGTTGGTTTGAAGACAGAAGGACATTTAGGGGGAAAAAAGATTAACGCAAACCCGCAGGCAAAGCTGCTGTGGTGCTGAAGTCTGCTCAGCTTTCCTTTGAGTGCTGGCAGCTGCGGGAATGGGTTTTGGATCTTGAAGTGAGATCAGATATCCGACTGGAAGTTGGCAGCACCGGCTGGCACGGCACCTCGCGGAGGCGCAGCGCCCAACAAGCTTCACGACCACCGGCTGCTGCGCCCGGGCCGGGCCGGGCCCGCCTGCCCTCCGGCCGGACCCCGGCCTTT